TTGAGTCAGCCCCAACTCATAGCGACCCCTCCTTGGGTTTCCAAGGCAGTATCACTATGGAAGTAGATTGCCCTATGTTCCTTCTGAGGAGTGGCTGGTGGGTTTGAACCATCAGCCTTCTGGGTAGCAGTCAAGTGCCTTAGGCACTATGCTACCAGAGCTCCTACATGCATACTAGGCAAGTGAAAACAACATGGCTTGGGTCAGATGCACCTTAGTCCTCAAACTGATACATTTGCTTGTTAATACTTTAAAGAGGTCTTTTGCAGCAGATTTCTTGACTGCTGCTTCCATGGGTGTTGATTGTGGATCTAAGTAAACTGAAATCCCTGACAACTTCCCTCTTTTCTCCATTAATTGAGATGTTGCTTGTTGGTCCAGTTGTAAGGATTTTTGTTTTCTTTATGTTGAGTTGTAATCTATACTGAAGACTGTAGTCTTTAATCTTTATCAGTAAGTGCTTCATGCCATCTTCACTTTTAGTAAGCAAGGTTGTGTCATCTATATATCGCAGGTTGTTATTGCGTCTTCCTCCAATCCTGATGGTATGTTCTTCTTCATATAGTCCAGCTTCTCAGATGATTGGCTCAGCAAATAATACAAATTGACTAAGTATGGTGAAAAGATACAACCCTGAGGCACACCCTTCCTGATTTTAAACCATGCAGTATCCCCTTGTTTTGTTCAAACAACAGCCTCTTGGTCTATGTACAGGTTCCTCATGAGCACAATCAAGTGTTCTGGAATTCCCATTCTTTGCAATGTTATCTATAATTTGTTATGATCCACATAACAAGGGAGGGACAGTTAATTCTGAAAACTACGATGGGTTAACGATGGCTGCCAAGAACACTAATGTACTGGTATCAAATGAAGGACAAAGAATGAGGACAGGGGAGAGAAGAGCTGGAAGGTCTCCTGGCAGCCTCTCTTCCCCTCCTTACCTTCCTGCCGTCTTTCAGCTTGATGAGTAACCTGCCACCGCTGACTCCAACTGATTGCACAATCGCATTGGGCATCACCTTAACCCCCTCTGTAAAGGTAAACAAGACCTGTGGCTGAGCCTGTCAGCCTAACACCTTTTTGGAAAGTAGGGATGCTGACAAAAGGCATCCCATTGTAAACCCAAGAATTATCAATACAGGAGCAGCCTTGGAGAGCGGCAAGAACCTAAACCCACGGTTTAGAACCCTTACATAAACTTAGCTGACTGGAGCATGGTGGAAACACTTCATTGGCTGGGTGACAGAGCTTAGGTCAAGAAGCAAACTTTGCCTTGGACCTAACTCAGAGGAAAGAGAGTGACATCCTAAGGAAAAGTCTCTGTACCTCGTCTGACTTTTTCCATGGTCCAATTGCTGAGGTATTCAGGAAGGATCTTTCCCATGTTTCCTTTCTCAGGGAAGAGCTGAATCACTTCTGTGCCCAAGGCTTGAGCTGTGAAGAAGAAACAGAGTAGGTTTAGCAGGAGGCAAGCCTAGGAAGATAGGAAGAGAAGTCAAGCTGCAGTCAGCAGCCACTGACTAAACACAGGGCAAAGCTGCAATCCAGGCCAGAGCTCCCATTAGTGGGGCACTGGGGCAGAGGGCCTTGGTGCTAGAGTTCATGCATAAGGCAAATACAACAGGTGCCAGAATTGCTGTCCCTGGATTAGACTACAGACTGTGAACTCAGTGCACTTACACCCATGTGGTCACTTCAGGCCTATGCAAGTGCTTTGGGATCTCTGAATAGTAAGCACCCTCCTGAGAAGACGCCCTGGTCTCTCAGAACTGAAAAATCCCCTTGAGAAAAATGGTTGCCGATAGTTTAGCTTAACTAATCAAGACTGCCTGCCCTGACCATTGTATTCTTTTAAAGAACTGTCTATATGGGATCAAATTGACAATAGCAACTTAAAAGGTTAGATAGGAATGTTAGGGGGCAGCGAGTTTATGTCAATGGAGGAGGGACAACTCAGAAAAGGAAGGTGAAAATGGCTGCACAACTTAAAGAATATAATCAATGTCAATAAATGGGACACGTCGAAATTGTTGAACTGGTGTATGTTTTGCTGTGTACAGTGTCAACAAGAACAGCAGCAAAATAAATAGAATAATTTTAAAAAGAAAAGAAAAATGGTTGCCACGAAACAGTCAAACGTGAACTCACAGATCTATCAAGTTGAGAGCCATGATGTATCTTAAGGAAGTTTTGGACTTTTTTACAGGGAGTCACAGTTAAAAGAGCCGTACCTCTGTAGGCTACAGTGCCTTTACCATCTTAGTATCTCACTTAGTATTTTATCTCTAAGGAGTCCTGTCCTAGAGGCTAGCAGGAAGGAAGAAAGCATCCCTGCTGCGTTGCTCAGATGACAGATTTTCAGTCACTAAGGGATCCTGCACTGGAACTAATTTCAATGCTTAAATTTTCACTACATAAAACTTCATCAAATGCTTTCTATTGATTGTGGCAAATCCTTACCTGGAATTTGTAAGAGCCCACTAAAAAGCATGTAAGACTAGAGAAAGACAACAGAAGCTGCTCCCCAGTACTCACCCTTTCTGCCAAGGGCACAGGCCAGTTCGCTACCGAGGAAGCCCCCACCAATAATTGTAATTGACTTGACTTCTCGTGAGATCTTCTCCAAGGCTCTAAAGTCTCCAATCTGCAGGATCACCACAATTCAGCACAATGATTTCCCAAAGGGGCACAGGATAATAATCTTAGGAAGTATTTTCCTCTAAATCTTTGATGACAGTCATTTGCAGATAAAATCTTCTCCTTGCATAAAGTGGCTCAATTATAGCCACGTTATTAATGTCCGTTTTTTTTTCACCATTGTTATTTGTACCATGTCTTCTCTCCAGTGATTCCCAACTGGCAGTGGGTTTGTGTCCCTCACTTTCCCCCAGCCTTTCTGCCCAGGGGACATCTGTCACTGTCTGAAGACATTTTTGGCTGTCATGACTGATGGGGAAAGGAGTGCTACTGACATCTAGTGGGTAGAGGCCAGGGATGCTGCTAAACATCCTGCAATACAAGACAGCTCCCTACAACGAAGAATTATCTGACCCAAAATGCCAACAGTGCCAAAGATGAGAAATCCTGTTCTGTCAAGAACAAATCTGATCAAATACCCACAATGGTAGCTGGAGAGCTACAGTAATTTTGTTTTATAAGCAAAGCATGGTGTTAAGAAGCAAACTCCCCTCCTGTTTCCCCTAGGTACTCTGACTTTTCTGCCCAAAGTCTCTAAGATAGCACTTGCAACGACAGATCCCAAGAAGCTAGCAGTTCCAATGAATTAAATTCATCAGGAAAAACCAGCTATGGAAGGGCAATCAGAAGGAGCCATAGCGACCATTAAAAACACCCATGTATTTTTCATTTGGAGCTTAAAACACTTGAGAGAGGGGAAATGACTTGCTCAAGGCCAGAGAACAAGTCTATAGGAGAGCCATAAACAGAACTCAGATCTCCCAAATCCCAAGTGAGTATTTGGGGACCACAAGATTATATTAGCTCCTCAAAAACAACACAGCGAGAGCACTAAAGTAGAAAATTACCTTTCTGAACAGCGTTGTCCTACTCCTCACCTCTGCTCCTGCCCTGTCAATGGCAGACAGATTTCTTGGAGTGCCTCCTGGAAGTAAGAGGAGGAAAAGAAAAACCCTTTAGCCCAACGAGCAGAAGCAGGCCCAAACAAGCACCCAACAGAGATGGCTCTGCCTCCATCTAGGGCTGTGGTGTGCGCACCTTGCTAGTGCCACAGTGGCATCAAAAGGATGTGACGGCTTTGTTTTCCTTCTCCTTGCCACACAGCAGGCTTTTATCAATTTCCTCTAAGAAGCAGATTTGAGAATCTCTCTTTAAGGGGCCTCGTCCTTCCCATAGATAGCTGTAAGTCTTCACTTCCAGTTTCTCTGGAGCACTGACCAAGTTACCAAAGCTCTGTTTAAGACACTGCTATAGTCTCCCTGTGTGGCACAAACAGTTAAGTGCTCAGCTACTAACTGAAAGGTTGGTGGTTCAAACCCACCCAGAGGCACCTGAGAAGAAATGCCTGGTAATTTGCTTCCAAAAACAACTAGCCACTGAAAGCCTTACAGAGCACAGATCTACTCAGACACAGGGGGTCGCCAGGAGTCAGCACTGACTCAACCGCAACGGTTGTTTTGTTTTTTCCCCAAGTCTTCTGTCCTGATTTCCAATTGGAAGTGACAATGAAGCCACAGGTCATATCACTTTCAGGGCACAGGGCCAAGCAGGGAGAGAAAGAAGGCAACCTTTTCCAATACACATCCATGCCTTCACTGGAAGCAGCAGCAAGGATAATTCAGATGGTCTGTTGATCTGGGACAGAACACGTATATTCAGCAAGGCTTTGCACTGAGAGAAGAAGCCCATTTCAGAGTCTGGGCTTCAGTTTTCGTATGGTTAAGTATTGCCTTCTACAGAGAAGGTCTGACTCTAAAACGTGAAGAGCTGTGCACGGAGAACGCCATCTCCAGAAATGCTCACCTGTGGCAATCAAGCACTTTTCATAGGTTATTTGAGAGCCATCGTTCAGTTTCACCGTGTTGCCTCTCACATCCAGCTGTACCACCTGGTGTAGTCACACCAAAAGAGATATAGAGATGAGCTGGCTTTTAAAAAATAATTTTTATTGAGCTATGATTCACACAACATAAAATTCATCAGTTTAAAGGGCACAATTGGGTGGTTTTTAGTACATTCACTATGTTGTACAGTCATCACCACTATCTAATGTCAGAACACTTTCATTTCCTCAGAAGGAAACCTTGTACCTATGGACATCCTCCTTTCTCCCACCCCAACTCCTGGGCCTCAGTATTGAAAAGACATTTACTGGGGGAGCATTTTGGACACAAACTCTCCCCATTCACTGAAGACCTTGGACTGGTTCATACTTCTGCTCTGAGCCATACCCAGAATCTTATGTCCTAAAACTCTACTTCTAAAACCTCAAACATCCCACTCTTAGATCGCAGTTCTCAATCCTTCCAGCTCTCTCAGTCTCACTCTCACCTGTATGTGCTCTCAATTTTCTCTTAGTTTATCAGCCACTAGTTGGCTGTTCCTTCCCAACTCATCTGGGCCAATGGCAGTGCATCCAAATGGTTCCTTTACTGGGACCCTTCATTCCCTTGCACTCTACTCCTTACGGTTAAGAGTGTCAGCTTTGGAGTTGGAAACACCAGGGTTCCAGCCTCTGCTCCACTATTTATTAGCCATGAAAGCATTCATTCAAGAATACTATGTGCCAAGTGCTACATTAAGTACAGGGGACACACTGGTAAGAAAGACCAATACCTTGACTTTCAAAGTTTAGTAGCCAAGACAGACCATTTAATAAATACTAACAAGGAGCCCTGGTGGCACAGTGGGTTAAGCACTTGGCTGTTAACTGAAAGGTCAGTGCTTTAAACCCTCCAGTGGCTCTGTGGAAGAAAGACCTGCTGATCTGCTTCTCGTAAAGATTACAGCCAAGAAAACCCTACGGAGCAGTTACTACTCTGTCTCATAGAGTCACTGTGAGTCCGAATCAACTCAACAGCACACAACAATAACAACCACTAACAATAATCACAAATGCCAAATATACCAAAAGCGGGTGACCAGCACAGTATCACTAAGGAAAAAGAAGACATGGAGAGTTTTACAAGAAGTACAACAAAGGTAAACACTTTGACATATACAACACTGTATTATCAGTAATAACAAGCATTAATCTACAGGTGGATACATAAGTAGACAGGCAGAAAGGAATACACCCATACCATATATAAGTTTGACGGACAATATTTCTACATACATATTTGTATGTGCTATAGCAATATCCATATATATAATAGAGCTAATAGGGGGCAAAGTTACAACTTCTTAGCCACAGCCAAACATGTTAAGGGACTGCGTCGCTGGGCTCACAGGCTAGGGACCATGGTCATGGGGGACATCAAGCTCAATTGGTATAACATAGTACACAAAACATCATTCTACATCCTACTTTGGTGAGTAGTGACTGGGGTTTTAAAAGTTTATGAGCAGCCATCTAAGATGCAACAATTGGTTTATCCTCAACCAGAGCAAAGAAGAATGAAGAAAATCAAAGACACATAGAAACATTTAGTCCGAGGGACTAGTGGACCTTGTGAACCTTAGCTTCTATGACCCTGAGACCAGAAGAACTAGACAGCGTCTGGCTATCACTGCCAAACACTCATAAAGGGATCACAGTAGGAGATCCTAGATAGAGGAGGAGAAAAGGGTGGAACTAAACTCAAAATGATAAAAAGAACAGGCTTACTGGTCTGACTGGTGAAACCCCTGAGACTATGGCCCCTAGTTACTCTCTGGGCCTGGAATTGAACTTACTCTTGTGGGTTCCAGACAAACAAGAGACAGGCCTACAAGGTGAACGATTACACCAGGTAGTTACAATTCTTAGAACAATCAACCATGGGAGATCAGAAAGGTAGCATCTGCACGGGGAGATAGATCACAGAGCAGGAATGCATAGGAATAAGGTCACAGGGAAGAGGTAACTACAGGGAAAAAGTGGGAAAAGAGGTGTTATATTGTGGGGATTGCAATCAAATTCATGAAACAAAATGTTGAATATGAAATGTTGAATGGAAAATGAATTTGCTCTGTCAACTTTCACCCAAATCACAATTAAAAAAAAAAAGTAAAACTCAAAAAAAAAAAAAATCATCAATGCCATGATGGGGCAATGCAGGTTGCTCTAGGGACCTAAGACAGGTGCATCCAATCTCATCAGGTCGGGGGGGGGGGAAAAGCTTTCCAGAGGCAGTGACAAATAAATTGAGATCTGAAGGGTGACCTGCTTCTTTAGACTCCTTCAATCTGTCCTTGGCAGGCTCCCTCTCCAATCCCACTACTCAATATCCATACTTCTCGCTCTCAGACAACCACTTTGCAACAATTTTACTGCGAAAATAAGTAAAGCCATTAGATTCACTCAGTTTCCCATAAGGGTTCCCCCACCCCCAACCCCATCCCTGAATAAAAACTTACAGGTTTCTATCTTTACTTGCTTTCTTCCAGCTTCTGGCATGAGTTACCCTTTCTGTTAACGGCGACCCTTCCAATTGTGCCTAACTTTCATACGTTCCTTTCTCTCCCAGAACATAACTCTATCAACCTGTCATACCCCATCCTCTCTCCCTCCTTCTCTCTCAGTAACTTAAATGCTCAGCCCATTAACATACTTAAGTATGTCCCTTCCAAAAACATCTACCTTTGATTCCATGTTCTCCTCAAGTTTTTGTCCAATTGCTATCTTCCTTTTCTCATTTAAACTTTTTGGAAGAGTAATTTCTTCTTTTCTAGTGTCATGATGATACCTGAACTGTCGAGTCTGACGGGACATTTAGCCATTCTTACCAGATTTCTCTGCTGCAGTAATGATGGATCATATCCTTCTTCTTAAAACTCTCTAAAACTTTGGCTTCTGGGACATCATTCTCTCCTGGGTTCTCCTCATATTTCCCTTCTTTCCTCGTCTTCTTTGTGGGGTCTTCTTCTTAAGCCTGCCTCCTAAAAGTTGGGATTCCTCAGGGCTGCATCCTTATCCCATTCCTCTTCTCAAGAGATAAGTTCTCCTTGGTAGACCTCATTCACTCTCGTACTTTCAACTACTCATATGCAGATGTTTTCTAAACTCTATCTCTAGTCCAAAGGAGTCCTAGTTGTGCAATGGTTAAGCACTTGGCTGTTAACCAAAAGTTAATGGTTCAAACCCACCAGCAGCTACATGGAACAAAGGATCTGACAATATGCTCCCATAAAGATTACAGCTTAGGAAACCCTATGGGCCAAATCTACTGTCCTGTAAGGTCACTGTGAGTCAGGATTGATTCACCAGCATACAACAACACTCTCCAGTTAAGACCCCCTCCTCTGAGCATCACAGTCATATATCCACATACTCATAAGACATTTCTATGCAGATAGTTCACTTCAAGCTTAATAGTCAAAATTAACTTTTAGCTTCCCTCTTTAACTAGCTCTTCCTTCTCTAGTGTCTTTCTCAGTTGGTGGTACATCATCACCATTCACCTAGACACACAACCAGTGACACTGAGTCAATTCTGACACACAGCACCCTAGAGGACAGAGTAGAACTGCACCATAGGGTTTCCAACGCTGTAAACCTTTACAGAAGCACAGTGACTCATCTTTTTCCTGCAGAGCGACTGGTAGGTTTGAACTGCTGACCTTTTGGTTAGCAAATGACTTACACAGTGTACCACCAGACATACGAACTAGAAATCAGACCATCACCCTTGCCTCCTTCTCCCTCATCTTTCACCTTCAACCAATCACCCAACCCTGTCAAGTGCCTTCCCCACTCATCATCACCTTTTGCTCAGGAAACAATACAGTGATGCTATTAAGACCTTGGACTCTGAATCAGAATGTCTGGGTTCCAAGTCTGAAGTCAGAAAGACCTGGGCTCAAATTCTGTCTCCATCACTTAGTAGCTATGTGATCTTGGGCATGTTATTTAATCTCTTTTTAATTCCAATTTCCTTTTAATAAAATGGGATAATAATAGTACCTACTTAATAAAATTAAGGAGCCCGGGTAGCGCAGTGCCTGAGGCATTTGACAGCTAACCAGAAGCTTGGTCGTTCAAACCCATTAGCCACTCTGCAGGACGAAGACAAGGCAATCAACTTCCATAAAGATTTACCACTTCAAAAGCCAAATGGGGATAGCTATGAGTTGGAATCAACTCAACAGCAATGGGTTTGTTTCATTTCTGGTGGCATAGTGGTTAAAGTGCCAGGTTGCTAACCAAAAGGCTGGCAGTTGCACTTACCAGCTGCTCTACAGGAGAAAGAAGTCGCAGTCAGCTTCCGTAAAGATTTGTAGCCTAGGAAATGCTATGGGGCAGTTCTACTCTGTCTTACAGGGTCGCTGAGTCAGAATTGACTCAATGGCAGTGGGTTTGTTTTGGTTTGGTTCATAAGATTATTGTGAGGACACAATGAGATAATACTCATAAAGCATTTAAAAACTGTGCTTCCAAAATTAGAATAGGCCCTATATAAATGTTTGTTCTTACTTTCATCAGCATCATTGTCAACATTATCCTACCATTACTATCCTAATTTGCATTCTCATCATCTTTTGCCTGGATTATTATAACAGTCTTTAAAATGGTCTCTCTTAAGTTTTGTCCCCCTGAAATTCATCTTCCTCACAGTCAATAATCCATTGCTGTAAGTCAATTCTAACTCACAGCGATCCCCAGGGACAACTCAGGGACGCCCAAAGCAGTAGGCCAGAAGAGCAGGAGAAAGGGGATTAAAAGCAGGAAGCCAGGGAGAGGTACAGTCAGTCACAGGGACCCAGGTGGGGGTGATACAAGAGGTCTCCAACAGCAAGACAAACTTGTCTGTCGGTTTGTCCTACTGTGGTGACATGTAGACGTGAGTTT